ATGACTTGTCATCCTCAATTATTGCGCATTTTGTAAGGGTACATGTATAGCTATATTATCTTTTATCCTGCGCAATGCATATTCCTTCATTTAAACAAAATTATTTTCTCCCAAGATTTCAAAAAGATAAAGATTATCTATCTAATAAAAAATATTTTCAAAATCCTAGCAGCAGTTTACTGCGTTGATTGTATGATTTATCATCCTCAAGTGTTGTAAGCTTTGTAAGAGTTTACGTATAGTTATGTTATCTTAAATTCTAAGCAATGATGGATTCATTTTCAAAACAAATAATAATTTTTCTCAAAGTTATTTTCTACAGAACGACGTAGCTTTAAGTTCCTCATTGCACCAGAGGATACGTCCGAGCGGAATTTTTCCATAAAACTCAAAAATAAAATGGATGTATCAAGAGTGCAGTGAGATTAAATCTCCATCATTCCTTGTGCTTAATCAGACTCCGGACCTTGATTCAAGGATCAGTTTTGCTAAAACAAAAGGTTTTCCAATTTTTTCAAATTAAATAAAATTGGTGGCGACTCCATTATTTTTATTTTTCAAATAATTTCGGGTCATTACAAGTTTATAACTTAAGAATAAAAAAAGTCAACCGTTGACTCACTTAATCTTTTAAAAAAATTACATCTAAATCCTTTAATTTTCTAACCAATATCACTTAATTTCTAACTATAATCAACCACTAATGATATCACATTAAACCCATAAAATTTACTAAACATCCTTAATATAACACTAGAATTAAGTTTAAGTCAAATTTTGCCTATTTGAAATTTGACCCCAAACTTTATAATATTTAGATTTTGACCCACAATCTTTTATATTAATTTCATTTGTGTCCATAACTTATTTATATAATTGATTTGATTGACATAAATTGCATTTCTATTAGTCATTATCTCCTTAATATCTTAAAATTATGCTTAATTTTCATAAGCATTTACTTTAATCAATTTCCAATTATTCACTTTAATAATGTGGGTAATTATAGCTTCCACCACCCCTAATAATTAGGCACCAACCATCACTAGCCACCACCATCATCGCCATCAGTCAGCCACCACAATAGTCGCCAGCATTGCCACCACCAACCAATCATCATCTCAAGCCACTGTAACTGCCATTCCTAATCACTAAGCACCAACCATCATTGCTACCTCTCGCCATCGCCATTAATCAATCACCATAATTGTTACCGGTCATTGTTGGTGTCGTCATCACCATCTATTGACACCAACCCCGCATTTTCTGCTGTTCTACTTCTACCACCACCATCAGTCATTATCACTAGCCACCGATCATTAATATTGACAATTAATTTAAAAATCAAATTTTTAAAAATTTATTTGGTGAGGGTATATATATATGGGTTTTATAATTCTCATTTAACATGAGAATTACAATTTTCCTACACACCCTTCAATTTTCGTGCTGGCATGGGTCCTACATATACTTCTTTCTAACACATGGGTCCCACATGCTTTTTATCTCGGCTTTTTGACCACTATAGCCTTTTTTTTTATAATTAATTATCAAATTGACCCTATTTATAAACTATTTCAAAAATTTGACCTCTTCATAAAACATAACACCAATCTGCCCCTGTTTGACAGTTGACTATAAAGCCTACCCGGGTATATTTTGAAAAATTTTACCTACCCGGGTAGATTTCTTGAATCTGGAAAAATGTTTGATTATTTACCCGGGTAAGTAGGAGTGTACCCGGGTAAATATTACACGACAAACTACAAAAATGTAAAACGGACGGAGAGAGAGATAGTACAGAATACAGATACAGAGTACTGCACTGCACAAGTTTCACACAACTCTTGTCCATTTTATTACTGCATTTGAACTTTCTTCTCTGTGTCAGCATCATTTCTCTCAAGTTTCTCTTCTCTTCTCTAGCACACAGAGAGAAGAAAGTCCTTGGTATTGATATCTGAACATGTCTCTTGGGTTTTCTTCCTGCACTGCATTGATCCTTCTCTTTCTTTTTAAAAAGTATTGATATCTGAACATGTCTCTTGGTTCCACACCCTGTTACTTTACTGGTATCCATTTCCTGATTCTTCTTGCATACCATTTTCATTTTATTTTTTTTGAAGCAGATTTTCATTTTGTTTTCGTTTTTAAGTTTTGGGTGTTTTATTAGCTCTCTCTCACTCAGATGTCATCAATCATTTTTCTTATTTTTGGTAACACTGCTTTATTTTGAGCTGTTAATAGTAATTTTGTTTTTGTTTTTCTTTTCTTTATTCATATGCTCATAATCAAAATAAATATCAAATAAATGCTTCTTTTCTCGCTTGCTTTTGGGGTTGATGCAATGAAATGAATGTTGTTTGTTTCTTCACATTTTGCAAGCTCAGGTTTTGTTTTTTGTTTTTGTTTTTTATATCCATTCATTTATTTTTCAACTGGAGATTTTTGTAATTACAATGTCATTGCAAAACATTGCCTTTGATATATATATATATATATATATATATATATATATATATATATATATATATATATATATCCACCTGGGTGATATGCATTCAAAGTCTTGTTCTTTTATACAAACGAAATGGTATGATTATTTACCCGGGCAGCCCCCTACTTACCCGGGTAAATAATCAAATATTTTTTCAGATTCAAGAAATATACCCGGGTAGGGAGGGGTGTACCTAGGGGTGTTCATCAACCGATCCAAACCGATTCAAACCACAATAACCGAATCAAAAAACCGATAAACGAATAAACCGAAAACCGAAAAATTGAAAACCGAAAAAAACCCGCAAATTTTAATTGGATTGGATCGGTTTTTGGATGGGTTGATGAAAACCGATCCAATCCAAACCGATCCAATATATTAATTCCCTTCTACCAACTTGGGTTTTTTTCCCAATCATAGCCCAAAAATTTCTAAACCTAAGACTCATTAACCCATCAACTAAACTCAAGAAAAAATCTAGTCACGTCTCATCAATTTTTTTTTATCTTTGTAGAGCTTCATATCTCATTACCAAAAAATGCTTTTGTATTTCAACAAAAATAAAAATTATAAAGCCAATATATACAAAAGATGCTATTTGCAAAATAATCATGAAATAAATTTTAGGATTTTCAAAAAACCGAAAACCGATCCAATCCAAACCGAAAAAATTTGGATTGGATCGGATCAGATTTGAAAAAAAATCCAAACCGAATGGATGATGATATGATCAAACTGAAGGGATTGGATCAGATGATTTTTGCTTCCAAAACCGATCCAATCCAGACCGCGAACACCCTAGGTGTACCCGGGTAGGCTTCATGGTCAACGGTCAAACATGGACAGATTGATATTATATTTTCTGAAGAGGTTAAAATTTTTAAATAGTTTATAAATAGGGTCAATTTGATGATTAATTATTAAAAAAAGACTATAGTGGTAAAAAAACTTTTTATCTCTTCAACATGAGATTTCAATTCTCCTTCAACATGAGAATTATAAAATTTTATATATATATATATATATATATATATATATATATATATATATATATATTTGGTTAACTTTTGTAAGTTATTTATAGGAGAAAAGGAGTATCATGTAACATGATATAAGAATTTTTACCTACTCACTCATTGATTTCGGCACCATCATTTTTTACTTTTTATTTTTAGGGAAAAGTTCACCAATGTCTCTGTGATTTGCTTCAGAATCATTTATGCCCCTGTGGTTTTTTCCTATCACATATGCCCCTGTGCTTTGTAAAAAATAAGAAACCACAGGGGTATATGTGATAAAAAAACATACCATTTTACAAACTACAGGGGCATATGTGATAAGAAAAAAACCACAGGGACATAAGTGATTCTGAAGTAAACCACAGGGACATTGATGAACTTTTCCCTTATTTTTATTATATGTATGAGACCCACATGTATTTTTGTTTGAGTAGGAAAATTTGTTTAAATTATGTTACACGAGGATAGCTTTACCCTTATTTATATATCTTATTTAAAATATAAAACTAATGTGTAAATAAATAAATAAAAGAAGTTTAAAAAATAATTTTAAAAAATGATATGAAATTTTGTTAAAAAGATTGTTTTTATCTATTTATATTATATAATTTACCTCAAATACCGATATGATAGCATGATTCTATCGTATTGATTATCCATTGCAGATCAAGCACATAATAAAATATAAGCTTATTTATACCAAAATAAAAATAAAATATAAGCTTATTACTTATTGGGCTCGTTGCCCTTTAACTTTCCTAATCCTATCGACCCTTTTAATTTCTAGATGAACCGGGCACACAGAGAGAATCTAAATAGGATGACGTTGAAATTAATACAAAGTTCTAAAAGTTGAGATAGGATATTTATACTACTAATTTTTTCTATTATTATTTCACTATTGTTGTAATCATCATTAGATTCAAAAGTTGTTTTTTTTTTCTCTCTTCATTCAACTTTTACTCTAATCCAATGGTGATTATAGTGATAGTGAAGTAGTAATAAAAAAATTTGGTAGTATGAATATCCTATCTCCTAAAAATAAAAGGCTAATTAGAGTGATGATAAAAGTAAAAAAGCCTCTTCCTAGTTTGGGTCTCTGGCCCTCTCTTATTACAAAAATAAATAAAATAAATAAAAATCCCTAATTATTGAAAAAATAAAGTTATAAATAACATCTTTATGTATTTTCTTTTCTTTTGAAAATTATAAAGGAGAATGATATACTTACAACTAAAAAAGTTTATTTACAACAAACTTAATCATAGTTGATTTTCGTTAATTCTACTGTTATTATTTATTGAAAATTATTGGATCACATTAATTATTTAATTATTAGTTTCTAATAAATAATAATCGTTAGATTGACGAAAATTAACGGTGATTAAATTAATTGTAAAAGTGATAAAAAGACTATATCCTGCCCAATTACAAATACTAATTTTTTGTTGGCAGTATTCTATTTATAGAGCAGGCGGCGTGTGTCTAGGGTTTGATAGAAGAGAAAGATAGGTTAAGGGTTAGGAGAGGAGAGGAGAGGATGGCAAAGTTCAATGTGGTGCAGAAGCGAAGGAGAGCTCTAATAGCTGAGAAGAAGAGACAGAATCACGGAGAACCTTTCACCGGCAAGCTCAAGCTCAAGAAACAACCCCTTCCCCTATCCGGCAAACGCAAGCGCAAACTCTTCAAAATATGGCGTCGGGTACTCTCTCTCTCTCTCTCTCTCTCTCTCTCTCTCTTCCTTGTCGAACCTGAAAATTTTGCTTACTTTCTTTTGCTCTTGTGTTTTCCCTTTTCAATTAACTGAAGGAGAAAAAGGACGCCTTACAGAATGGCTTGGTAACCATGGAAGACGTGCAAATGACTGTTGCTGAAGGTAACCGCCAATCATTCTCTGATTATTCTGTCTGTGACTTTTCACTCAAGGAATGCATAATTTTATTTATAATGTGACTTTTTTTCTTTTTTCTGCATAATTTTCGAGTGTATGTTTTTCATGGACCAAGCTAAAAGCAGAATACATGTTTGATGGATTTGTTTAAGCTGATATTTTTTGATTTTGCGAGCAGGGGAAACCAAAGATAGCCGTAGATCTTCAGGAAAAATTCACTTGAAGAAGAGCTTGAAACTTAAACAGCTGAAGCGCAAGGGTAATTTTTTCATGCTTATAATTCCTTGTTCTATCTTGGACTATGTTCTTTACGAGTACCAAGTTTTGAATTGGGTTTCATGTACCAAAAAGTATTTTATTTTATATATAATAAAGCCAAGCCTTTCAAGTAATGAAAACAAGGTAAACTTCATTTACATAATAATAACATACCTGCTCCAAATTTCCATATGTCTCATAAAGAACATTCAAAGTTATTAACAATGTTGCACACATCAAGCAAGCAAAAGATGCCTAAACTCTATTGCTAAGACCAACAGTGTCAATGCGATCATCTCCGTACTCATTGGCAATGTCAAGAATGCTAGTCCCGTTGTCAAATGTCAACCATGCCATGCCTCAACAAATGTTTTTCATTTTGCTCTCACCATCAGTATAGTTGTCACTCTTTCTTGACTACCTAATAAAAGAGAAACAATACTTCCCCCTCCCTGACAACAGAGTCCTTGCACTTGGAGTTCAAAATTGGGAACCCCCCATTCCATGCAAAGTCTTCAATTCCTCCTCGACATTCCTTGCTAAGTCAATGGCTCTCATCACCTCTTTGGGGTCATGGGGTCTGACTCTTCATTTCACATTGTGATGCAGATCACCCAAGAAATATCCCAACAATTGCTCCTAGTTCAAATCAATCAGGGATTTTTTTTTATGCAAGAACCCGAACCAATTTACAGCATTGCCCTCCATAGTAGTAAAAGCCAGTTGCACCTTCCCTGTTGGCTCTCTTCCTTTGTTGTCCAACACAAGGGATCCATTCCATAAAAGGCGGGTAACTCTACTTTTTGTGCCCAAGAACAGGCCTACGTTCCATTGGAATCCATCCCACTTCCTTTACTGTGCTCCTTGACCTGCTTGGTCAAATGGGGCTGAGCCTCCTCCCAAGTGAGTTGTTCGTGGGAGCCTCATCCTCTTGTTTGACACCCGGTTTCTGCATCCACCGACCAAGGAGATGCTTAATGCTGTCAGTACCCTCCACTCCACTTTCTTGACAACTGCGAGCTATGATTGCTTGCCACCTTCTTGAGGAATTGTACTGAGCTCTCCAATGCTTTGATGCGAGGCTCCATTGCATCCACGAGATGGTGGGACCAAACTGATAGGCTCTCTGGTTAGGTGTGACAGGAATTGTAAAAGAATAGGAAAGAGAGAGAAAGAATGGTGTCTGTATTCTGAAAATGGGGATTACAAGAGTAAGAATCCTGTTACAAGGGTTGTCCCATTTTCCCAACTGAGAATCTCTCAGTTTCAGTTATTTTCCCCGAAGGATCCCTTCCCATTAAAATTTCCCATTTTTAACTACTTAACCTCCTAACTGCCAATGTAACCACCTCTTACTAACCCATTAAACCCTACTATTTATTCCTCCTAGAATATACCCCTCCAAACCTTATTCTCCTAATTAAGAGTTGGCTCGTTGAGTGTGTAACATAGGATATCTTCATGCAACTATGTAGGATTTTGGCTTGGACTTTGTAATATGTAGTATGCTGAGAAGGTTTAGCAAATGAGGAACTTAGGAGTAGGAAATAGTCGTCATGTCTTTCAGTGTTTCTTAAAAAGTGTATGTTTAGAAATTTTTGACTGATACATGTTTTCCTTATCGGAGTATAGGACATATTAAAAAGATAACCATAAACTTGTTTACAAAGTATTTTGCGTTCTAATGACTAATATGTTCTATGGATATTTGTGGTGGTATCGTACAGGAAAGAACAATAGAAAACCAGATGTGCCCGGTCCCGGTGCTGATATTTTGGCTGATGCTATGGTGGAATAAATATGTCAAGTTTTAGTATTCTACGCACTTGATCCTTGTATTGTCCGGTGGAGACTGGAGCTGACAGAAAATGCATGGAGGAATTTTATGATCTTCTGCTTGGTAGGTAGGGCGATATAGAAGAGGGGAAATATCGGATGGTATAAGATTTTGTAACCCTTGAATTGAGTGATTGATAGACTCCAGCAGATACTTTCATTTTTATTTATTAACCTATATTGGCGAATGAAATTAGATTAGAATATAGAAAATGCTATTTTATATCGTGACAATAAACATAACCCGGCAATTGAAAACCAATTGTAAATGACCCGTGTGATATCCAATCCAGATGAGGGGAATAGCAATGACAAGTATTGGATAGACACAGTATTAAGCAGTTTGCCCACTGCATCAGTAAGAAGTGACATTAAGTTTTATATTTTTAGATTTTGATATTTCGAAAAAATGGATCTTGTCAAATCGAGTTTTCTATTCAGTGCACAAACTGACTTTACATCATTCTAGGAAAAAATTTCCCCTCATATTGCAGGGACTTTGCACGAAAAGTGTGCGGCCAGAGGATTTGTTTTTGTTTTTTGATTTTTTTAAAGAAATTAAGTTAAAATGGTCATCTTCTTAGTAGCCAACGAAAATAAATGATTGTTTTTACGTAGAGACCCTCCCCTACTCCAAAGTTCAAACCCATTTAAAAAAAAAACAAAAAGAATCAACTTTTCTTTTTACCTATTCCTTCTTTTTGTCGTATTATTGATTTGAAATCTTTGATTGAAGAATTATAGCCTTGTTTTTCTGCTTCAATTGGCTCGATATTATTGTTTAAACCAGCGATACACTAAACTGATGAATTAATAATTAGCTAAAATTTAACAGTGTCGGGAACGTTATTAGAGTAAATACTCTTTTTGGTCTCTGGCAATATTCACGAAATTCTTTTTGGTTCCTAGCAATAAAAAAGAGATATCGTGGTCCCTAAATTTTACAAATTAAGCTCACGTTAGTTCTTCTGTTAGTGAGACTCTAACGCCTTGATAACGTCTCTGACATGTATTGTTAAAATGCTGAGTCACCGTTGAAGAATCCACCTAGATAAAAAACGATGTCGTTTGGTACCTTATTTATTTTTTTTCTTTCTTCTTCTCTTCAATACAAGTCCCCTCCACCAACACCAATGTTCATTACAGTTCACCACCACCATGGTAAATGAGGGTTGGTCAACAAGACTTAACGATTCACAACATTCTCAAGTCTGTCAGCAAAAGAAGAGAACTGAAGATGCCTCAACATCATGGCCGAGGAGAGAAGCAAAGCAACAGGATTAGCCTCACCATCATGGTAAAAGCACAAGAGGGTGCTAGAAGATAGAGATGAATAATACAATGGAATATTTTATAAAACAGAGCATTAGAATGTAAATGAAAAAAGATGGTAATGGTACCGTAAATTTGGTAGTTAGCTGCTATGATTTACTTGCGGAGCATTAGACTGATCCTGCTGAGAAACTCTGCGAGTACATCATAATGCACAAGAATGACAAGAGTGAAACGAAATGCTCGGGAAATGTTAATTTCCTGTTGATTTTACAAGTTTCTTTCACTTGTTTGTTTCTAAGTATGGTTAGTAACATAAACTATGGTCTTGAAAATTTTAACTCCTTCTGTATTATATGCAATAGGTTTGTAGAGAATCATCTATTATTTAAGGTTGTCAATGGTTTTTGCTATTCTTAGTTGAGGTTTGAGGAAACTTTAGTGACTGCTACTGCATAATCTCCATTGAGCTGAAGCTCTTAGTTTTGTAGAATTTTTTAGTTAGTAGCTTTTCTAGACTAACCTCACCGGAGGATGTATAAGGTTGAAATGCTTGTTCTTGATCTTGACATGAGGGAGATCCCAATGTTCATTATGTATTCAGCAACCATGAATACTATGTTACGAGTAGTATGCTAACTGTATTTATGCCTCAAAATTCGAATAGACATGCTTAAGAACACTGTTATAGTGTTGTACAATGTTTCCTGCTGTAAAATGAATTCATTAGTTTGCTGTAGAATACAAGGCGTCGAGATCTGTGTTCACTTGGCCTAGCAGTGTAGAGATAAAACACTTCGAGTTTGAGTTTTAGATATAACTGTCAACAGTACAATTAAACTGATACGTAAGGTTTGTTTTACTGCACATGCCTATTTCTTTTGATTTTCTTTAGCATAACCTTATCTTATTAAAGGCTAACATCTTTTAAACTGCATATTATCATATCATATTTGTATATATCTGCAGTCTGTATCATATCTCAAATTATTTTTCTTCTCCTGTGTGTTTGATTTGGGTTTTTTGGAGAGGAGTTTTCATATCTCACACAAGAATTCATCGTAACATGTTTCTCAAGTCAAAATAGCTTGTAAGCTGTAACTTCATCTGTTGCCAGCAAGCTTGTTTTTCATTTAAGTACTATAACTGTATGCTAGTGGTGAGGAATAGCAGGATGTAGGGGGAAGGTAAATTTGTAGAATCCTAAGAAAGGAAAAGCAATCCCCATATATATCTGTCATGTCATCTATTCTTCCATTTCACCTTTATTGTTTTAAAGTGTGATTTGCTGCGATACTCAAGATGTGAAACTCGCGGAGTTTAGAAACAGAGCATTATTATGTACTCATGGAGTTTCTCAGAAAATAAATTTTTCCATGCATGAGGAGGAAGACCCACTGAACCTTCATCAACAGTGAATTCTAAAACTCCTGAATGGGTGGTCCCCTGTTTCTCTTTATTAGCAGCTTTAACGCCTGAAGAGCCTTCCTGATGAACTAAACATAATGAGGTTCAGCTGTCTCAAACTACTCGAAGTGAGGGTGAGATCTTGCAGTCATTCAACTGAACATGATGATGGAGAGGCAGAGGGTGGAGTTTTGCATGGAGGCCGTAACGATGGCGGTGGAGAATGGCAAACCAGGTGAACTGTAATGAACATGGGTGCTGGTGGAGGGGACCTGTATTGGAGAGAAGAAAGAAAGAAAGAAAAAAGTAATGTACCAAACGACGTCGTTTTTTATCTAGGTGGATTCCTCAATGGTGACTCAACAATTTAACAGTACACGTCAGAGACGTTATTCACGACGTTAGAGTCCCACTAACAGAAGGACTAACGTGGGCCTAATTTGTAAAATTAGGGATCACAATGTCCCTTTTTTATTGCTAGGGACCAAAAAAGACTTCGTGGATATTGCCAGGGACCAAAAATGGTATTTACTCACGTTATTACTTTTTGGATTACAACGACCTATAATTCTAGGCGGGATTTTCTGATCCCTTCTACAATAATTAACCAATCTTTCTACTCCACCTCAAAAAATAAAAAACCCTTTATTAGTAAACCATCTTTTTTCTTTTGGAAGTTTTCGGATAAAGTTTAAATTACCTTTAATGTGATTTACTCTAAATTTTTTATTTCCTTTTTTTTATCTCTTATTTTTCGTGCGATCTTTTTTCACCTAAGTCAACATAATTAAATGATCAAATCGAAGGTAATTGATCAGATGATTTTTGATACAATATAGACTGCGAACATCCCTATAGACTGCGAACACCCCTGATTCTAGTCCTTGACAAATTTCATAATAAAATATTTTCAAAGATTAATGTGATTATGTGTGTATATATTGATAAGCCCAAGATAAACGAGTCCTCAGTTGCCCCATCCTCCAGTTCTTTATCCTGGCCTCGGCCTTCAACTAACTGGTGTAAATTGAATGTTGACGGGGCAGTGACATATGGAAAAGCTGCTTGTGGTGGGCTTATTCGTGATTGTCAAGGCAATTGGCTAGGTGGTTTCAAAACTTTCTTGGGGTGCTATTCCCCTCTCCTTGTTGAGCTCTGGGCTATCCATAATGGTCTAGTGTTTGCTTGGAATTCTGGTTTTAAAAATCTAATAGTTGAGAGTGACTCATCCCAAGCTATTAGATTGCTTACCTTAATTGGTAATGATGCTCGAGAACTGCATTTAGTGGTTAGGATTCGAGCCCTTATTGATAGATCTTGGACTGTCAAATTTACTCATGTCTTGAGAAGCAGTAACAACTGTGCGGATTAGATTGCAAAGAGAGCTCTATCTTGTTCTTTGGGTACATCATTTATAGTTTCTCCTGACCAGGATCTTTAGAAGTTGATCTCCTCCGATATTATAGGGTCTTCCAGCCAGATCTGGCTTGCTGCCTCAGATTAGTCTTTTCTGTTCTGTTTTGTCTTTTATTTTTGTTTTGTCTTCTTTGGGGCTTTGCCCCTTATTGTACCAAAAAAAGGCTATTTGACCGTTTGGAGGCATTACCATGTAAATTCTACACGCTTGATATGCTCTTGGTTATTTTTCGATGGGAGGTTTTTAGTTCTGCGAACTGCCCCCGTAGAATTACTTTTATACCTTTTTAATTTTTTTAATAAGTTTTGCAGCTCCCACCTTGTGGAATTCATCAATTTTTTCCCCTCTTCAAGTTTAGTGGGGAACTTGCGAGTTTCTCAGTCATCCAAGGATCTGGATCCTCTCATGTGAAAAAAATATGACATGGTCATCTGAAAAATTATAACCATGCAAAGGTGGATTAATGGTAATAAAGGAAAAAAGAGAGAAATACCAAATAAGTAGTTACAAAATCATAACCATTGATTTATTTTTTATGGTTGTAATCTTTTCATATGACCATATCATATTTTTTGTATGTGAGAGGATCAATTTTCATCATCTAAAGCCATTAACCCTTAAAATAATATTAATGAATTTTTCAAAGAATTTGTGGAACTCGTTAAATAACTTTGAGGTGTTGTTTGGTAGGAGGATTTTTTTGGAAATCCTGGGAAAGTGGGGTGGAATTTTTTTTTCTTCCACATTTGGTAGGAGGAAAAGTAGAAATAATCCTGGAAATTTTTTTTTCCCATCATCTTGATTAACACGAGGGATTCCCTATTGTGAATACCATCCAACCCATGGTAATATTTTTTTCCCATGCGATGGGAAATGATTTACACCTCTGTCAGGTGAAAATGGGGTCGTTTTGCTCTTCATTGCTTAAACATGCAGGGGGAGGATTGACTGGTGTGAGCAATAAGAGGATTCAACACTGGCAAGCCTGCAAGAGGAAGAATAATGAGCTGGAATTTTTAATCCCCTGGTGGGGTTTTCAGTTGGGTATCTCCGTAAATTAGTTCCTGTTCATATTTGTATCTTCAAACTCAGTCTTCAGGTTCATTTTTTTTTCCTGGGGTCTCATATTCCATAAGACATTAAATTGGGATGGGTGATGATATATGTAGTTGCAAATAACAGACAGAGAGCATTTTCATTTTTGTTCTCTAAAGGAGAAAATCATGAGTTGAATTGTACACAAATAGTGGATTCTCATTCTTTTCGACAATATTTCTTTGGATTGAAAGAAAAAAGGGTATGGCGGTGTGGAATAGCTCTCCGGCAACCCTGATATCGGATTGACAGAGATAGGGGAAACGAAGGCAAAGAAAATAGGTAATCCAGAGAGAGAGAGAGAGATGGCTGAGGTCAAATGAAGGCCGAAAGAGATTCAATATTCATAGTGAAGGGTAATTTTATAATTTCAGTTCAATTTTCAGTAATATTTTATCATTAACCAAATATAGTATCAAAAAAATCAACCTAATATTCCCGAGAAAATTTTGCCTTACCAAATAACTTTTTAGTAATATTGATGGGGGGAAAAATTTCTTATCATATTCCCGGGAATTATGATTTTCGGGTAAAAAAAAAATTTCTCCTCTACTAATACTTCATGAGAAAATTTTGAACCGACAAAAATACCATTCAGTCACCGTGAATGAAACACGCCAGATCTCATTCTTTTTTCTCAAAACGTCGTATCATGTCTACATTTTCTGTTTTGTGTAAATAAAGTCAGCTAGTTCCGCCGTTTAAGGCAAAGTGACTATAATAGGCAAAAAAAATTAATTTATTAAAATTTAAATAAAAAATTATGAATTTATTGTTATTTTGAAACTATTTACGTATATATAGCAGTGTGTCACGTCTGGATTGGGCATCACCAGTTACGCCTAAGTTAGGCATCACCCAAGAGGCACTCACGCCTAATTTAGGCGTGACTCGTCCTGTGTTGACATGTGGTTCAAAAAATTAACAATTTAATCGTAAAACTTCTTAAGGCTATAACTTTTAACTCGGGTATCTAAATTAGATAATTCTTTATTTGATTCCACATAACTTTTCAAGATCAACGCAATGACACCTCATTTAACATATTTTATCTCTCACAAACATAATTTGAATTTACAACAATGAGACTTTATCTTATAAGTCATGGTCGGAAATTAACGATGGCACCAAAGTGGATTTGTTCATCTATAAATAATAATACTTAATGTCATAGTAAAATATATATTTTCTACCAAGTGTTTGAAAAAAAAACAGTGTATAATATTGTGAGAAAAGAAAGTGCCACAATATAAAAGTGTGGGAGAGATTGGTAAGAATATAATATTCTTTAAGTTGCATTAAAAAATGTAAAACTTTTGATATATTGCATTAAAATATGTTCTTATGCTGTGAAACATGATTTGATAAGAGGGTTTGAGGTGAATTATACTATTATAAATGTCAAAGAATGCATTATTACAAACATATACAACACCTTAAACCCTCTTATTAAAGCATGTATAAGAGTATAAAGTCCACCAGAAGAATCTATGAGTTCCATGAAAAGCCTGCAATTGGATGCCCCTTTGACATATTTCATCTTTGTGAATAATGTTATTTAAATTTTTCTTCTCAGCATTAAGAAATAATTCTCCGAAAATTTTTCAATGCGTAGATATCGAAAAGTTATGCAGAATAAAAAAAATCACTTGCTTTGGACTTCCGAGCCAAAAAAATTACATGGTCTTCTTTGAATTTCTGAGAGATCACGGTCAACTAATTGGATTTGTTTTGAATTTTTGAGGGATCACAAATCGACTTTTTTTTAAGGGATTAAATGCTTCTGGGTTTAAATGTTCTTATAGTGCCATTGTTGCAAATTTGGACTGTGTTTCTGAGAGATAAAATATGTCAAATGAGGTGTCATTGTGTAAATCTCAAAAAGTTATATGGAATAATTTTTTTTTTTACTTAATTCGGATACCCTAGTCAAAACTTATGGTCTTCCGATGTTTTACGATTGTGACACATGTCAACACCAGACGAGTCACGCCTAAATTAGGTGTGAGTGCCTCATGGGTAGGGGTGTTCTCGGTCTGGATTGGATCAGTTTTGGAAGCAAAAATCATCTAATCCAATCCCTTCGGTTTGATCATATAATCATCCATTCAGTTTGATTTTTTTTCAAATCCGATCCGATCCAATCCAATTTTTTTCGGTTTGGATTGGATCGGTTTTCGATTTTTTGATAATCCTAAAATTTATTTCATGATTATTGTGCAAATAACATCTTTTGTATATATTGATTTTGTAATTTTTTTTTTGAAATACAAAAGCATCAGTAAACTATAATATAGTTTTTTTTTTTTTGGCAATGAGATATCAAGTTCTACAAAGATAAAATTTTGTTGATGAGATGTGACTAGATTTTTTTTGGGTTTAGTTGATGGGTCTTGGGTTTAGAAATTTTTAGGCTATGATTAGGGAAAGACCCAAGTAGGTAGATGAGAATTAATATATTGGATCGGTTTAGATTGGATCGATTTTCATCAACCCATCCAATCCAATTAAAATTTGCTATTTTTTTTTCGATTTTTGGTTTTTCAATTTTCGGTTTATTCGGTTATCGATTTTTCGGTTCTGTCACTGCGGTTTGGATCGGTTGATGAACATCCCTACTCATGGGTGACGCCTAACTTAGGCGTGACTGGTGACGCCTAATCCGGACGTGAATGATGACGCCCAATGCAGACGTGACACATTGCAATACACGCAAAAATAATTTCAAAGCATGTTATCAAAAAAAAAAAAAAAAAATTTCAAAGCAAATATAAATTTATAATTTTTTATTTAAATTACAATAAATTAATTTTCCCGGCCGGCCGATTGTACTGAGAATTTTTGTTTTTAAAAAATAATGCTGATTTTTGCACCTGGAATATTAAAGGTCGCACGCTAGCCAGATATAAGATTATATTTTGAAAAAAATTAACAACAATTTCCAAATAGAAATAAAAAAAATTAACCACAATTAAATCGTAGTAAATTTTATAATTAAATTACGAAAAGAGAATGCAATTGTGGTGATAATTGTGCATTCAAATTTATAAGAAGTTTGAAACGGAATTATTTTCTCAATTTTTTTTTTTTATTTAAAAAATGACATTACAAATGGTCTCTTTGCCGCCGATTAATCAAAAAAGAAGAAGAAGCAAATATATATAATGGTAATTCAAAATTTGGAAGCTCCCTCCTCCATTCGACAATCACACTCTTAGCCTCACTCTCTTCTTCTCAAACTAACAATGGAACCTCCCTTTCTCAAACTTGTAATGCTCAAAGGTCCACGACAAGGCGAATCCCTTGAATTCCCACCCGGATCCGACATCCGAATCGGTCGGGTCGTCCGTGGCAACACCCTTCCCATTAAGGATACTGGCATATCCTCCAAACACCTCTCCATCCAAACTGAATCGGGTAAATGGGTGCTCCGAGACCTCGACTCCTCAAACGGCACCGTATTTGACGGCTCCAACATCCCTCCTCACACCCCCTTCTACCTCCACGACGGCGCCACCATCAAGATCGGAGAGCTCACATCCATCCACGTCATCCTCCTCGACCATCAAGAGCTTTACCCGAGCATGCGCGGTCGAACCGGGCCCCAGGTCGACGCGGTTGAACCGGGTCCGATGGGTGAGAGCTCTGATGCACCGGTTCCGAAACCAGCGCGTGGAAGAGGGAAGGGTTTGAAGCGCAAAGTTCAGATTCAGAGCATCGACGAAAACGTTAGCGTAAATGTTGGCAACGAATCTGGGTATGTGGATCGACCCGCGAATACGAGGGCAACCCGAAATTCGAAGAACAAGGTTGCAGCGTCTGATTCGAAGGTGGAAGTACCCAAGAATACCCGGGTCACCCGGAATTCGAAGAATAAGCAAAGTGTAGTTCAAATTTCTGATTCGGATACTCCGGTGGAAGAACCCAAGAATACCCGGGTCACCCGGAATTCGAAGAATAAGCAAAGTGTAGTTCAAATTTCTGATTCGGATGCTCCGGTGGAAGAACTCAAGAACAAACTGCGAACCCGGCATTCGGAGAAGAAGCAGAGTGCGCTTGAAGTCTATGATTCAGATGCTCCGTTGGAAGAACCGAAGAATAAACGGGTGACCCGAAATTCGAAGAAGCAGAGTAGTCCTAACAATTCAAGCTTGGAGTGTAGAGTGGAGAATGCTGAGGCAAAGAAAACGAGGGTTGGTACCAATAGGAGGAAATTACAGGAAGAGAGTGCTGAATTGGAGGAGGCTAAGGTTGATGATGGTGGTGTTAAAGATGGAGATGAAGATGGCAATGGGAAAGAAAAGGAGAATTTGAATGGAGATACGAATTGCCCTGATTTGGAGAAGTTGAGTCTTGGTGAGTGGTTTGATTTCTTAGAAGTTCACTTGCCAAAACAGATAGTCGATGCAACTGAAGAGATTATTGATTCCATGAGACAAAATGCTGAGAAACTCCGCGAGTACATCATAATGCACAAGAACGACAAGACTGAAACGAAATGCTCGTGAAATGTTAATTTCCTGTTGATTTTACAAGTTTCTTTCACTTGTTTGTTTCTAAGTATGGTTAGTAACATAAACCATGGTCTTGAAAATTTTAACTCCTGCTGTAAACGCTGTATTATATGCAATAGGTTTGTAGCGAATCATCTATTATTTAAGGTTGTTAATGGTTTTTGCTATTCTTAGTTGAGGTTTGAGGAAACTTGAGTGACTGCTACTGCATAATCTCCATTGAGCTGAAGCTCTTAGTTTTGTAGAATTTTTTAGTTAGTAGCTTTTCTAGACTAACCTCACCAGAGGATGTATAAGGTTGAAATGCTTGTTCTTGATCTTGACATGAGGGAGATCCCAATATTCATTATGTATTCAGCAACCATGAATACTATGTTACGAGTAGTATGCTAACTGCATTTATGCCTCAGAATTCGAATAGACATGCTTAAGAACACTGTTATTATATTTATATAGACAATTACGTGGACTTTGATTTTTGTTCCCGTGTTCTAGTATCTGTGTCCTTGCTTAATGGGGATGCAAGTGATGGATTGATTGAGACACCCGGTAACTTTTAAATTTCAATTTCCATAAACATTTGATGAGTTATAGTGTTGTACAATGTTTCCTGCTGTAAAATGAATTCATTAGTTTGCTGTAGAATACAGGGCGTCGAGATCTGTGTTCACTTGGCCTAGCAGTGTAGAGATAAAACACTTAGAGTTTGAGTTTTAGATATAACTGTCAACAGTACAATTAAACTGATACGTAAGGTTTGCTTTACTGCACATCTGATACGTAAGGTTTGCTTTACTGCACATGCCTATTTCTTTTGATTTTCTTTAGCATAACCTTATCTTATTAAAGGCTAACATCTTTTAAACTGCATATTATCATATCATATTTGTATATATCTGCAGTCTGTATCATATCTCTCAAATTATTTTTCTTCTCCTGTGTGTTTGATTTGGGTTTGTTGGAGAGGAGTTTTCAGATCTCACACAAGAATTCATCGTACATGTTTCTCAAGTCAAAATAGCTTGTAAGCTGTAACTCCATCTGTTGCCAGCAAGCTTGTTTTTCATTTAAGTACTGTAACTGTATGCTAGTGGTGAGGAATATTAGGATGTAGGGGGGAAGGTAAATTTGTAGAATCTTAAGAAAGGAAATGCAATCCCCATCTATATCTGTCATGTCATCTATTCTTCCATTTCACCCTTAATTGTTTTAAAGTGTAATTAAGAAGTTCAGGCTCCTTAATTAGTTACTTTATAATAGTTTCTACTTTCTTAAGCTGAGGTACTTATTATTGAGCACTAATGGCAGTAATGTTGATGATAAACTTATACTTAAGATTGAATAATTGTGAGCACACAAGGAATATATATATATATATATATATATATATATATATATATATATATATATATATATCATATACAAGATGTGAGACTATTCTATTTATACACTAACTTTAACATATTATTCTAACACGTATAGCTGAAATATCGGATAATTACTTACCTTTTCTTTTATTGTTATACTAGACTAGATTGTTGTTTTATTTAGTTTAAAGGCCATGTCCATCAACTTAGTGTTTGTTTGGTTTGCATTGAACCGCACCCAGGGCTACATTTTCACGTAGAGCACTTTTAGCAAAGTCAATGTGTTTTGGCTGCACATCATAGTGGCTTTTTTGATAAGGACAAAACAACACGCACCATTTTTTCTTCATGCCAATTTTGTCAATTCTCAGGCGTGTCAAAGTTGAAATACAAGAATTTTAAACTAACACACACCATCAGTAAAATACATTGTTACAGAGGAGAGTTGTTGGGAATTAAGGTGCGAGGACCTACACATTGAATTGGAATGCAATAAGTGAAACACATGAATTGCTGCATGGTGGGGGAGAAATGGAGGCCATTAAGGGAAACCTTCCTCTCAATATCTACCATGTCCAAAAGCTGTCGGTTATTATCAATAGGTTACATATACTCCTCCATTCAACGGCTTTAGGCTTCTCGTTCTATTACAGGGTGTGCTTTCTTTTCCAAGACCCAGAAACCAGAGGAAGCCACTTGCTACCATCCATGGCTTCTTGTTTTTGCTTCAGAAATCATTCTCTCCTTCATTTGGATCCTTGGCCAAGCTTTTCGTTGGCGTCCTGTTTCACATTCTGTGTTCCCAGAAAGATTGCCAGAGGATGACAAACTTCCATCTGTTGATGTGTTCATATGCACTGCTGATCCAATTAAGGAGCCCACTTTAGAGGTGATGAATACTGTTTTATCAGCCATGGCACTGGATTACCCTCCAGAGAAGCTTCATGTGTATCTTTCAGATGAAGGGGGTTCCCCCATCACTCTTCATGGTGTGAGGGAGGCTTGGAAATTTGCAAGGTTGTGGCTTCCCTTCTGCACAAGGTACAGAATAAAGAACAGGTGCCCCAAGGCTTACTTTTCTGCTTTTGAGACTGATGATAGTGATTTTGCCAGGAGTAGTGTGTACATGGCAGATAAGCAAGAAATTAAGGTTGACTATTATGATGAAACTTGGTTTCATTGATTTTTTTTGGGTTACAGAACTTATAGTAACATTGCTTTATTATGAAAATCAACAATTTGCAGGAAAAGTATGAGGCTTTTAAGGAATAGATAAATACTTACAGAGACGAGAGAGGCTTTGGTCCAGGCATAACTGTTCGAGATCACCCATCTATCATTGAGGTATAATAGCATTTCATTATTCACTAGTACATACATTTTTCATTTTGGCTTGAATACTGAATTGAACTGCTTGACCATACCAAATCCAAGGTTATAAACCATCTTCATCCCTTTAACTTATCCAATTTGAGGCTTGATATCCCACACACACGTGCTTTCTAACAAGTTTGATGAAGAATAATCATACATGACAGCGATAATCTTCTTTGAGCTGCTAGTGTTGTCAATAAATTACAATCACATGACAACAAAATCAGCCAATGCTTGTAGATTTTCAATTCAGATGCTAATTCGCTGTCATGAGAAACAGTTTATTTTAGACAAGTTGTCTAATTAATCTGATCTTGGCAGGTTATGCAAGAAAATATCATTGATGATGTAGATGGCGTCAAAATGCCTCTCCTTGTTTATGTTTCTCGTGAGAAAAAGCCCTCTCATCCCCATCATTTCAAGGCTGGAGCCCTCAATGTCCTCGTATGACTATACTTTTCTTTTATCTGCCAAAGTACATATACAAAACTTGCTTTACAAACACAAAAAAGGTAATTACATAATAATCTTGCAGCTTCGCACCTCTGCTGTGATGAGCAATTCTCCCTACATTCTAGTTCTAGATTGTGACATGTTCTGTAATGATCCAACTTCAGCTCGATATGCTATGTGTTTTCACCTTGATCCAAAGATATCATCCTCCTTAGCTTTTGTTCAATTTCCTCAGAAATTTCACAACATTAGCAAGAATGACATCTCTGATAGCCAGCAAAGATCAATATTTACTGTAAGGAAATCAAACTGATCTTTAGCATACCTTCTTTTGTTGTCCCCCAATGTAATGATGGTGCAATTTTTGCTGTGTTTAACTATTTTTGGACAACTTCAGCTACAATGGCAAGGTATGGACGGGCTTAAGGGGCCAGTGATGTCTGGTACAGGCTTTTATATAAAAAGGGTATCACTGTGTGGAAATTGCAAGAGCAAAGGTATTGAACACATTTATTTATCTAGTTGCTTCTACACACAAGATTTTTACAACATATATATGAGCATTGCCCTTATGTTTCGAGGTTACCGTACTCTTTACTGTTCTGAGTTTTGAATGTTAGGGACTGATCTGCTGCAACTTAAAGAATATTTTGGTTCATCTAATGAATTCATCAAATCACTTAATCAAAACTACACCGGTGATTTAGCGTTTGGTAGGAATTCATTGCTTGAAGAACCTCATTTGTTGGCTTCTTGTAAGTATGAAATTGGCACTAAATGGGGACAAGAGGTAAGTTGTAACATCCCAAAAGCTGGCAAGGGCAGGGAGTGATCGCCGGTGCAAAAGGGCACGGACAATGAGCGGCTCATGCCAAATTTTGCAGCTTGGGGGTTCATGAATGAATCGAATCAACACCCGAAAGAGAGGGATTTCAGAGACTGTGCTGGTATGGGACGGTACAGTTAGGAATGACTTATAAGAATTAATTGGTACTACCTATACTAACAAGATGCATTTACTTTTCGGTAGCCCGGATCGGAAGAACTCCACAGTTAAGCGTGCTTGACTTGGAGCAATTCTGGGATGGGTGACCTTTTGGGAAGTTTTCCCGGGAAGTGTGCGAGTGAGGACAAAGCACACTGAAAAGTCTCGTGTTAGTGTGTGGGGACAATCATTGATTCTTGCAAGTGGCCGGGCGTTACATAAGTAGACCTTATATTCCATTAATTCAGTTATTCCATTAATTCAGTTGATGAGACTGGTTCAGAGAATTGTAAGAAAATAAAGAGACAAACACCTTTTTGGGCCCAGATAACTGGATTTTCAGTATTAATATGAAAAAGAAATACAATACTACAGTCTCATCTATTAGAGTAAAGAAATGCACAACGATAATTGACTACCACTATGATCAGAATGACCAACTACCCTGCACTCACAGATACAGGTCATTACAATTGAAGAGGTACTGATTCTCTCCCAATCCCAAGTCCTAGTCCTTTTCTGACCCATGCTTACACCCTTCTCTATCCTTTATTCCCTCTATTTGACTAGACATGTCAGCACATCCTCCTTCTCTCTTCTAACAGCATATTCTTCTAGAACATTTCCCAATAATCCCCTGTACCTCCTCCTAGCATACACCTTCGTAGGAGTTCTATCAATTTCCTATATGATAGTGTAGTAGAAGACATCCTCACATGATTTATCTTGCATTGCAATGGATGGACTTCAGTTTTCTGTGAACCATCAAGGCCACAGTTCCTAGGTACTAGATCGTATTGTGGTTTGTTCGAAAATGGTATAAATAGGTTTTGCCCCCTTATATATGGGATTTCAAGGATGCCACTTCTTCAGAGTCTATGCTATGCAGAACTGACATATTTCCCTCTATATTGCTTGCCTCTTTGGTGTTTTGCTACCATCCCTCA